TTCAAAATTCTCAAACTTTGCGAAAACCTTGAGAATTGCAGGAATTTGCTGACACGACGAATAATCGTACGATAATTCTTCCTGTTAAACTTATTCTTGAATATATTATATTTCGGTAATACTATTCGAGCCAAACTAACAAGAAAGTTTGTAAAAATACTAAATATCCATCACATTATTAGTTTAATTCGTAATGCGTCAATAACAAATCGATGAATTATCTTGAATCGCTTGAAAAAGAATTCTCAACGTCCAACTAATTAACCATTGAATATTTCAGATATATATTAATCTCAAGATCAGAGATATACGCACAATTGTACACCACCCAACGAATCATTCTGATGCTGATCGCCATCTGGACATTGAGTTTCTCTCTACTTTTGCCACCGTTGCTTGGCTTTTGGGGAACATTGGGCCTAGAACCATCAACGTTCTCTTGTACAATTCTGAAGAAGAACGGCGCAAGTCCGAAGAAATTTTTATTCGTTCTAGGATTCGTGGTGCCTTGCGTAGTTATAAGCGTGTCTTACCTTTGTATTTATTGGCGCGTGAGGAAGAGCAGGAAAAATCTGGAGGCCCACGCGGGCGCATCCAGGAGGAAATCTGGAGGATTTCAACGAAGAGAGGACTCTAGGGTGACCAGACTGATGTTGACGATATTCCTGTGCTTCCTCTTGTGTTTCATGCCACTGATGCTGGTTAACGTGATCGACGACAAGATAAAAATCCCAATTTTGCATGTAATAGCTTCTGTGCTGGCGTGGGCCTCCTCTGTAATTAATCCTTTCATCTATGCTGGCACTAACAAGCTTTACAGAGAAGCGTACAAGCAGATTTTGTGCCCAGTTTCTAGCAAATTACCGACAACTGGACCGAAACCCACGCATTCGCATTCGAGTAAAGTGTCGTCGCCTCAAGTGACTTGAAGACTGATCAATTTTACACGGGTTCGAAGATACATTGTTGTTTAAAAAAGCGTTTTATCTTATATACAGTCAGTGTACGATAGTCTATATACACCTGTAAATTTCAGATATCTAGAGAAAAGTAAAAATCGGTACATTAAAGTGTAGAAAGCTCTGTACTCTTATTAGTATTATAATTATAAGTTTTAATTGACTTCATGACAATATATGACAAGATCGTATTTTAAATAAGATTTATTTAAGTATGTTCTATCATATATATGAGAAACATATTTTAAATGTATTTTAGAATACAATCCAATTTTAACTTTGAATTGATTAATTTAATTTTAAGTGTTAAATTAAATTAAATTTTATAATTATATAATTATAATTATATTTTATAATATAAATATGATTTATTTTATAATGTAAAATATAAATATATTTTATAATACATTTTATAATATTATAATATAATATATATTTAAATATATATTATATAATTAATTTCATAATTAAATTAAATTAATGAAAATCCATAAAATATCTAGAACTGTTCCCATTCTGTTTAAAATAAATTTGAAATTCAACAGATGTATTTAGACTTCTGTGACTGACTTCTAGACATCTGATACTTGATTAGTGATGAATGTTGGAGTATGAAGGAGTATGAGGTATGAAGTGAAAATTGTTCGAAATTTACATGATAAAAATATCAAAGATATTTTTGTATTATTTAAAATAAGAATGTTGAAAACGAAAGAAGTGTAGGAAGTTTGAAAATCTTATGACAGATGGAAAATAATGTAGCAAATAGTTCTACCAAAGTTGTATATTTTATTAAAGAAAAATATATTTTAATTGTGTATTGTGAAAGCCACTCTCGACTAATTTATAATTTTTTAAAGAACGAGCAACTAATAAATGTATGTAATTATTATAAGTAATATTAATCTTTGTTCACGGGGCATTTATTAGAATAATTTTCATAAGTTGATTTTATATTGCGATTGTTAATATTAATTCTTCCTTACTCTTCCTTCTAGAAGAAAAAGAATATAAAGATTGAGAAGTATGATACAAGTATTATACTTGTTAGATAAAATGTTGTTAAATTAATTAGTGTATACAATGTTATATACTAATACATATATACAATGTTATATAATTTACGAAATTTACTACGCGATGCTGACAAACACATGTACAAAGAATAAATTCTCATGATAATAATCTGTGTAAATAGACTATAGAAAATAAATTATGATAAATAATGACATCATTTAGAGTCAAGTTACGTATTGTTTAGTTATAATTTTCTGATTTATGAAATAAAGCAACGTGAAATGAAAATTGTCTATGTAGATTTTAAAGATAATACTAGTTTAAGTAATATCGATGAAATTTTCATTGCTCTCTTTTAACTGTACTTTAAAGTTTAAAATTTCGTAAAATTTAAATTTGAAATTCGAATTCAAATTGTTCCTTTCTTTCTATCGAAGCCATAATTCGTACCATCATATGAGCATGAAAATAAAGTTAAATAAGATTGTATTTGTAGTGGTTAGAATTCAAACTAAATAAAAATATAATCGCAATCGCAGCCAATTAGCTCATATTACTTGCTATACAGTTCGTAGTTGTATCATATAATGATACAATTAATAATTGTATATCAAATGATAATGATTGCCCAGGTCTCACCGCGTGGAGGTTGCTGCGTTGGAGACCCACCTTAATCACACGAACTATTTCCTTTTACACGCAAAAATTTATTCATTTCATAGTTTTAAGCGATTTATACACATTAGGATTATTAAAACTATTATTTATTTCGTGCAGAGTTTAAGAATTAAAGTTGCGATATTCTTCCACGTATTATATTTTCACTTAATTACTATTTGAAATAAGTGAATGAATCCTCACATAGTATATTATCTAGTACACTAGGGTACTAAATATAATAATAAATAAATAATATATATATAAATAATATATTATATAAATATTATTAATAAATAAAATAATGTTACATTATTAATTATATTAATTATATTAATAATAAATATTAATAATATTATATATTAATAAATAATATATGATATAATATAATATATATTTAATATAAATATATAATATACTAGGGTACTAAATATAATAATATATTAAATACTTATGTCACTTTTAGATATTTAATTTTATTTTGTATTTTCTGTTTTCCTTAACAGATATTAATAAATGAAATTAAATATTCCAAAATTAAGCAACATAAAAATCTTTGATGTTAATTTTCATTACAGCTAATGAAACAAAAGTTGCACGAAGGTTATAATACACGATCCTCTAAAATGATTCTGATTAAATATGAGTGTATAAATTAACATTTATTGTATAAACAATTCATACAGAACTCGCGAGTCACGAATAAAAAAATAGGAACATGCTTTGCCCAGTAAAAAATTTACGTCGAGATATTGACGTTAATAAGAAATCTCATGATGCGATAAAAACTAGCAAATGTCTCGACTATATAATATGGCTGTTTAATTTCTTAACGTACACGTTTCACGTATATTTATACGTATACTTTATTATACGTACACGTTTCACGTATATTTATACGTATACTTTATTATACGTTCAAAACTGCGATCTTTAAACAAAAGTCTTACCAGAACGTATAAAATGTTAAACTCCTTGTTACTGTGAACCCTTAACTCTCATCGTCTGTAATCCACTGACGGAACACTTTCTACGTGCACTCATCTATAACTTCTCCTTGGAACTAACTGAAAATAAGCACCGTGTAAGAAAGAGTAGTTATTTTGTTGCATTGATTCCAAGAACAAGTTGATGAATCTTGATTATACAGTGTAGTCTAGTTGCGCGTTCGATAGAATACGAAGGAAGGCACGGTGCCATTTCAAATTAATGGCAACGTCGAATATCATCAACAGACAATACTTTGTGTTTCTCAAATATCGATCGAAATCACATCCAGATCGTTTAATTAAATTGTTAAAAAATAAAGCAAGCTTTTATGCAACGAACGTTTGTTTGTAATGTATGTACTTTCATCGGCATTACCCTTCGCATAACATATCATACCAGACTCTAGCTTCCTCGTGAAAAATAACAGCATGAACTAGGACTTGATTATAGTGTATCGTGTATGAACGTCTTTTTAACGTACCTGTAATACAAAGACAGTCAAGTGCAGTCAAGATGAAAAAACGAATCGCGCCGGAGAAAGCGATTTTGTTCACGAAACTCAGCGTTGCTCTGACGTGTTCTTGGCCACCTTCTCCCTTGGCCACCAAAACTCAACTTCTGTTATTTAACGCATTATGGTGTACGACGTTTGTTAGCTCCGTAACGCTATTTTTACCATTGATGGCCGCGATTTACGAATACCGGAAACATCCTATCGTTCTTGGAAAAACCGTGAGTCTTGCGTCGGCTGTTGCACAAGTGGTGATCAAGATGATGATATGTCGATGGCAGCAAAAACGTTTTCAGGTGCGTCGTGATCCATTCAATTGTGCACGAAGCTTAGATAAAATACTTAAATTTTTGAATTTAAATATCTTATCTAAAATGATTTTGAACTTGGTTTTACCTAGTTTTTTTTATTGTTCTGTGAACAATGACAGTTCACAATGTACTAAAATATTCTAAAAAAAAAAAAAAAATCGTCAAAATCTATGAATTTCATATATAGAACTGTACCAAATCTTCATAAGTATTTGATTGATATATTTATCACATTATTAATTTCTATAACAGAAAAATTGTTTTCTACTGTGTTAATCCTTCACTTTTTGCAATGTCTGCGCTCAAATATTATGATAAAATACATATAAAATACAAGTAAAAATATATATATATATATATA